TGCCTGTCAGAAAACTGAACAGTGACTGACCAAGGGAGACAGCTGAGCAGTTAGTGACTAAGTTAGTCTTAGGAGTGGTACTTTATTGTAGGGAACCAGGAACTTGGAGCATAACTAATTGCCTTCCACCATGGTGAGAAATGTTCAAGATTTTATAAACTTGTAAACTCACCCTGTCCATTTGGACAACTTATTTTTAGGACTTTCACCCAACAAGAAGAGCAAACTCCAGAAAAATTTGTATGGAGCAAGATACAAATTAGCAGCTTTCACAGACAACTTCTAAATATAATACCTCCTACATTATTGTGAGGTATTATTCTCATTAACCAGATATGGAAACTGAGGCTGAGAGACTAAATAATCATTCAGATATGTCAGCAGTAGCAGAGTATTTAGGACCCTATGTCTGCTGGGGAATTTGTGTTTTGTCTTTTCAAACACCAGTACTGCCCCTAAAGTCCTTGTATGAAAAAGGCCAGTAACAGGCTTAACTTGTTGGTATTTTAATGCAAGAATGGGAAAAACAAATGAAGAGACAAAAACCTTAATGCTATTTGAATACACTCCCTTTAAGGAAACCACAGAACATTCTAAGCGAGAACCATTCTCCTCCTGCTGGGTCCTGAAGTTATTCTGGAACCTGACAGGATCCAGAAGATTTGAAGAGTCTCACAAGGCCTTAGCAGGTGCTGGTTATGTGTGTAGAAGGTCAGAGCTTCAAAATGGGACCTAACTCAGATTCACAAGCATTAGTCACCTGGAAAGACAGATTTGTAAGGGGATAGAGCCAGTAGATCAGCTGAATCATGGGTTCAGCCATTGATGGTCTTCATCCTTGCCCACTCACCCGGGAATATAAGATGGTTGAGAAAGAGATGGAAGTGAGAGGTGTCAGCTAGAAAAATGGCTTCTCTCAAGAGGGTTGTTAGGACAGGCTGAAACAGGCAGGGCTTCAGGAACAAGAATGTTGAGTAGGACAGATTATAGGTGGTAGTCCCTAAAAAGGGTGAAATGAACAACAGGTTGTATGAGATGCCACTGGTGACCCGACCCAGGCCTTACAAGCTACAAAAGGCCTCTTCCTCCCTAATGGGCAACCCCATGCTTCTGAACACAATTTCCCCTAAACCATGATGTGACTCAGCCACCTACACACTTTTGGGAAAAGAAAATGGCAGTTTTTGGCCTTCTCTGATTAAATGGCCTCCTTTGATACAAGGGTCACCTAGAACCCTCTGCAATGGGAACAATGACTTCGTCAACCTACCAGCTACAATGGCAGGTGCTCACCCCTGCTGGGTCTCTGAACATATAATCAGCAGCAGGAGGGCCTCCCTGACAGCCTTGGACCTGCAAAGACCCCGATGAACGGTGTAGTCAGTCCCTCTATGACCAAGGATCACACAAATCCATCTGACTTTATAAAGTGGCCATGCCCTGAAGTGTGTCAACATATCAAACCAAAATTTCAATGTCTGAAGGGAAACCAGTCACATAGAAGAGTTTAGAATTAAACAACCACATGGAAAGAGAAGTCATTTTGTGATATAACCAAACATCCCCATGTATCCATTTTACATATCTAGAATTTTGTGAATTATATGTTCTTAGAATGATTCACACCTTGGTTCTCTTAACTGTAAAATAAAAGCAGGGAGTTTGGGGGAAAGAAAAGAGCCATTCTTCTAAAATTCTTCCAAAACCTCATTATGAACCACTTAAAGTGGGGAGTTGAGGGGTAGATGGAATTTGCTGAGAATGAGTTACTGGTCACCACTGCAGGTTGAGAGGGAGCTAAGCTCGTCCTGCAGTGGAAGGCGTGTGTGTGTGTGTGCACGTGCACGTGTGTCTGTGTAGGTGAATGTGAATGTGCACCTGCATACATATTCTTGTGTGTATGTTAGTGTGTTTGTCACAGTATTGTGTATGTATGTATATGCATGTGTGCATGCGTTTGTCTAGCTGAGGGTGAAGGGCTTAAGCATACATTCAATTCCTGGAGATAGGCCTGTAGACCTGTAAACTGGAAATTTTTTAGCCCTCTGGTCTCTACAAGTCCTCTCCTGGGCTGAACTGCCATTTCATCCCTATTTGCTGGGCCGTATCCACAAAGTATAACCTTGTACTGCTCTTGTATTCTTTTCCAGCCTGCTTTTATTGACTCTGTGTTCAAAAGTAAAGCTTTCCCCCAATTTGGAAGTTTCTTGGGTAACAAGAAGCAAGAGTAGAATCCTCTTGGTCAGAGAATCTTTCAAAGAATCAGTCTCAAAAGAGGGATTTGTTAATTATTTGTCCACATCTGTATTCTGTACGGTATGTTTTGAAAAACAAATGCATTTTGTTTTAAAAACCACACTGCAATAAAATGTTAAACCAGCAGAACAGCACTGGACTACCTAAAGGATTTTTGTAGGGGTGGGGCTAAAAGCAGGGGTGGGGCTAAAGGCAGAGCTAGGTCGGATGGAGTGGGGTTAGAAGAGAGAGAGAAAAAGAGAAGGCAGCCAGGCTCAGTGGCTCCGCCTGTAATCCCGCGCCTGGGGAGGATGAGGTGAGTGGATTGCCTGAGCCCACGGGTTCGAGACCCACCTGGGCAACTTGGCAAGACCTCATCACTACAATAAATCAAAAATTATCCAGGCGTGGTAGCACGCGCCTGTAGTTCCAACTACTTGGAAGGCTGAGGCGGATGGATTGCCAGAGCCCAGCAGGTCGAGGCTGCAGTGGCCAGGAGCGGCGACTGCACTCCAGTCTGGGCAACAGAGTGAGATTCCAACTCAAAAAAAAAAAAAGAAAGAAAAGAGAAGGCTAGAAGGAAGAGAGGAAGAGGGAGGAGAGGAGAGAAGGGATTGGGGATTGGGGAGAGGGGAGAGGGGAGGTAATGGAGGCAGAGGCAGAACTGCCCAGAACTTTCCAAAACTGCAAATAAAAGTGGAACACTCGGCAGGGCCTGTGTTTCCGTCACCTGGACAAGGACGATTTATGTATGTCTTTTCAGATTTCTTTAAGGGCTCTAGATTCCTTCAAACATCTTGGAGGATCGCAATTGAAATGAAGATTACCTCTCATTCAAATACCAATAATCTCAGGCTCAATTTGTTCTCACCATCCATCCATTCTCTTTCTTTAAATGGGGGAATGGGGAACACAAAGTAACAAAATAAATAAATAAAGACATTGGTTCTATTTAAATATTTTTATAATGTGTTTAATTTTTAAGGCAGAGTTTATGCTGATCGCTTTAACATCTAAAAATACATAGGTACCACGAAGAACATCTGGTAGTCTACTCATTTACCCAGTTTAAATGCCACATTACAAAGCTAAATTAAAATATCTGACTCCTAAACAGATGTGAAACATAATGGCCAAGGATGACGCATACTAGACACAACCTTCAAACATGTGGTTGACAAGGATAGCAGACTGTTGGGGTAAAACTACAGCAGTCAAAATTAAGATGAGAAGGAGGCCACTATATTTTTCTTGATATTTTTCACCTGATCCCAGAATAGCTACTGTGAACATGTTTTACTCTTTCATAGGAATCGCTCATAGAGCAGGTGCACACAAGAAAAATCAGCATTTTAGCATCAAACACATACCACAACCATCTCTACAGGAGGGGTTTTCTGTAAGATGTGTGTGAATGTCAGAGGAACACAGTCTGAGAGATAAGGCTCAGATCCTGTGAGGTCTTGATGAATATCTACACAACCTCACATTTTCTCTTCCACGCCTGGGGTGAGAGCCCAGCACCCGGCCCACACACAAAGCTATGATGAGAGGTTGGCTACAGGGATGGCAGAGGGAAAGCCACAGATAAACCAGAAATTTTTGAGTCAATAGCTTCTACTTGCTCCCTAACTGGAGCTTTTACCAGAACTGCCTGAGACTAGTCACCATGAACTTAATCTCCCTGGATTTTCCCTGTCTGATCTCTAAATGAGACAACAAAAGACAGAAGTAGCAGTGACCACTAGCCCCTAGATACCATCAACCCTTGTGGACTGCAACATTGGTTAGAGTCTGCAGACAATAAAAGCAATGGAGGTGTGCTTGGTTCACATTTCAACCCGCAGCAAGGGAATTCCCTAATTTGCAGCTGACAAGAGTCCTCCTGAAGGTACAATCACTACGAGAAGAGAGACAGCGAGAGAAGGTATCAGAAAGGAAGCTGGAAGCAAAGACACAGATAAGCACTCTCCTCCATTGCCTTTCCTGGAATCAGAGGCCAGAGTCATGGAGGTGGTTACAAGGCAGGGCAAGGCTCATCCAGGGCTTCCATTTCGGCAGGTCCCTGCAGGTCTGCAGGCTCTGTAGTTCCTCAACTCTTTGAAATATGACCACAAGCATACTCTCTGCTCTGCAGTGCTTGTTTAAGTTCTTTATGCATGATCATCAAGAGGTCCCCTCACCAGTCCTCTAAAATAAAGAAGTGCGATATCATACATAGATGAAATTGTATGGTGTGAATGTGTGTGTGTGTCTGTGTGTAAGTGAGAGACAGAAGATCTGGATGTTTACCAATAAGTTATTGGCAATTAAGGGGAGTAAAATTTTATGTGATTTTTTTTTTTACTTCCTTGTTTATACCCACTGATTTTTTTTTAAATATTAAAACAGGCATATATCATTTTGTAATTCCAAAAACTACTTTCATTTTGAAAAATTAAACTAATATTTTAGAGGAGACAAACATGCTATATATGATTATTAAAAACTACCAGACACTGACCAATTTTTTTAATTGAAAGAACTGAACCCAAACCTATAATTTGCTTTCAAACTCAAACTACAAAACACATGCTCTAAGTATCATAGATTCCAATGTCGGTGAATATCAACAAATATCAATTAGCATAAATTGGACAAGTGGTGTGGATAACAGCAAATTCTGGTGTATTCAGATACACAAGTGAGTTGACAGATAACAAGGTCATGGATCTTTCTGGGCTGAGTGAGCCACACTGTGGGTGTTACATTGCAAAGGATGGTTGTGTAGAGCAATACATAGAACACACTCTTTTTTGTGACCTCACTCACTCAACTGAGAAATAGGACAGAAAAAAAAGAAAAAAAATCACGCCAGCTTCACTTCATTCTTTTAGCAACATCTGAATATGCGTGCTCAATCTCCTGGTCGGCTGGACACGTATTTGTGAACTCATCTCTTACGTAAGCATTATTCAAGTATCTCCAGATGCCAGTCATTTCAGAAGGAAATTCAAAATCTCTGTATTTTTTGGCCACAATCTGAAAATGAAAAGGAAATGATCAGTAAAGGGAAAACCCACTAACGCGGGCACTCGAGTCAGACAACCCATTCTTTTGAGGCATGTCATATATTCTCTTTCTCAGCTCCTTGTGTCATCCTGCAGTCATTCCAGCTGCCCTCCACAGATGTGAACTTTGCATAGGGGCATCTTGGGTACGGGGAAGGTTATGAAGGTACTGAACTCAGCCCAGTGGATGCACACAGTCCTGCCCACCAGTCTAGCACAGGTAGTCCTTGGGATCCGCTGGCATGAGTTTGCTCTGAACCTTGGTGCATTTCTCCTTGTGTTTCCTGCAAATTTATTCTCATGTGTCCCGCTAACTTGGTGCTATTTGAATAAGGATTCATAACAGATCTTCTGTCTAGATTATACCAGGATCACTGTAAAGTGCGCACTCTTTTTCCTACGTGTTGAGCCTCATCTCCTGCGATCCGATATCTGTGCGCGTTGTTACTACTGATTTCCATCATGCTGCCATTAGGAGGACCACCTGGGTCTGGGCCTACTATAGGGAGAGGGATGGAGTCATGTACAACACAGATGCCAATTTTTACACTCATGGGGGATGGTGGAAGTAAGGGAAGAGCAACTGAGAGTGAGCATCATGAGAAACTCAGTGGCATGAGGTACTTCCTCTGTAGGAGGGGTACAGTCAGGGAGTTGGTCACAATCGAGGGTGAAACATTGGGGACTGTATCAGCTTGCTAGGGGAGCCATAACAAAGTACCACAAACTGGGTGGTTTAGAACAGCAGAAATGTATGCTTTCATAATCCCAGAAACCAGAAGTCCAAACTCAAGGTGTCAACCAGGCCAGGCTTCTTCTGAAGGTGTTAGGAAAGGATCTGTTCCAAGCTTACCTTCTAACTTTTGGCAGCCTTGGCTTGTGCAAACCTCCATCTTCACGTGGACTTCTTGTGCACATGTCTCTGTATCTGAATTTCCCCTTTTTTCAAGGATGCCAGTCAAATTGGAGTAGGGCGGACCTACTCCAATATGACTCATTGTTAACTAATTACATCTGCAAAGACCCTATTTCTAAGGTCACATTCTAAGGTACTGGGGGTTAGGACCTCAACATATGAATTGAGGGAACACAATTCAACCTGTAATAGGGACTCAGGGCTCCAAAGTTCGATTCTGCCTGGTGACCTCTCATCCCACTGTTTCCTGGGAAGTCTGAATGGAGTGGGCATGGGTTTATGACTAATGAGAAGACCTTTGGGACTTATTTCTTAGATTTGGATGCCAGCAGCCATTGATGCCATATGGAAGCAAAACAGGACCATCTGGCTTTTAGAAAGTCTCCTAAATTGTTGAACACCTTTTACTTGAATTCAAACTTATTGATGTTAATGTTAAAAATTCTGCTTTTCTTTTGCTTGCATTTACCTGGTTTACCCTCACTTTTTTTTAACTGTAAATTTCTGAATAAATGTGTGGCGTGTAGGCCTCCTATAGATGAAATCTTGTTTTTAATATTTTCTGAATGAAATACTTACTCTGTGTTCTTTCTGTGTGTATGTGTGTTTCCCTTTCTAGTAACTTAGAAGATTTATGGTTTGTTTTAACCCTTACAGTGGTTTCCTATATAACTTAAAGTAACAGGAATTCTCTATTTATTTCCTGATTTATCAACTTTAGATGCTATCTATTGACTCCTGATGATGATGAATGAGGAAATTTGAGTGTCTACACTTCTCGTTCTTCTCCTTTACCCTCTTTCCAATGGTTGTAAAACAATCCAGGCTTACTATATCTGACTCTGTCCTGTCACTATAATTCCCACTGTTGTTTGGCCTTAGCACTAGTTTCAGATTTAAATAGGTTCTCTGTTTAGCACCTATCCTTTTATGTCACACACCTTCTTTGTTCCTGGACTCTTAGTTTGACTATCATCTTATTATTTCATCATGTAGCAATTTTATTTTTTAAAAAATTAAGAGTCCAGAAGTCTAGGTAGAAACAATAATTTGCCTGAATATACAATTCTTTCATCACACATCCTTTCACTATTTTCAGATTTTTAATTTTCATGAAGACATCTGGGGCCAGTCTGAATTTCTTCTCTATGTAGGTTGTTCTACTGTTTATTATTACTGTTACTAGTTGTTATTGTTATTACAATACTATTATTGTCTGGACGTCCAAAGGGCTCCTTTTTATTCTCAAAGCTCGATAATGTATCAAATATATCTCAGTGTGGCTTGTCATTTAAATTAAGTGTTCAGGTTGTCCTTTAGTTCAAACTCATTTCCCCTTGCATGTTCCTTCCTTTTCTTTTTTCCTTTCCTGTTCTCTTGTTCCTATGTGTACCTGGGATCTTTCTAATAGGCTTTATCTTTTCTGGTCTTCTCCATTTAATTTTGGATGACTTCCACAGGCCTGTCTTCCAAATCACTAATTTCTGTAATACCTTTGTCTACATCTTACTACTTCTAATAGAACTTTTATTTCTGCAATTATTGTATTTGTCTTCACTTTTTTCCTTGGGCTATGTCAGCCTTATTTCCATCCCCCTTTGTGGTATTTGTGGTATTATATTTTTTGACATCTTGCATCTTGTCTTTAGGTCTTTTCTCAAAAGGTTCATGTTCTCTTTTTTCTGAGGCTGTAGAGAAGCTTCTATCTGGAATGTTCTTTAAAGTACTGGAGAAGTTTTTGATCAGATATATATTTCTCAGCTGCCTTTGTCCTTTTGTTGTTGTTGTTGTTCCTTCTCTTTTTTCTGCTCTTTTTGGTCACCTCCGTCTACTTGGATTCTCCCTGGTTATTCACCATCTTTTAATGAGGCAGATCTACTGGGCCTACCATTTGCTTAAAAATAGTGTAGAGGGCAAAGGGAGCAAGATAGGGCAAGTGCCATGTCAATCTGGACATTTGCTCTCATGCACCCTCTCACCAAACACTGCTCTATATGTACTATGCCCCCGGGACACATTAGAGTTAGGGTTAGGGCTAGGGTTAGGATTAGGGTTAGGGTAAGGTTGGGATTAGAGTTAGGGTTAGGGCATCCTCCACTCTGAGGCTCACAGATTAGGCAGAAGGTCACCATGATTAAAAATGAAGCTTGGACAATTTATAGTCTCTCTCTTCACTGGCTATGGGCTTGTTTCTTTTTTTCTGCTCAGCAGCTGCAAAGCAAAATGTCACTTCTCTTCTCTCCTCCAACTCCACCTCCCCTCCAGATCATTCCTTTGAATTAGGAGCTGGGTCACAGCCTACAAAGATGGTGTCTCTGTATGGCTCCTAGAGATCTCAGCTCAAAAATGGCCTTTTTAGAAATGTTCTCTGCTTCCCTTATGGCCTATCACATGCCCATGCCCTCAAACAAAGAAGTTTGGGCATTTAGGATTGCATTCTTTACTTTTTAAGAAATCTGAACTTTGCTGAAGATATGGAGAACGTGCATTGGCTCCAGCGTCTCCCTCTTAGTCTTCAAGTTGGTGATCTGTCATCTCTTTGTATTTTTATGAAAGATGAAGTTAATACTCTATTTTTATGTTGTTTTCACTGGGCTTCAGAAAGGGGAATAAATTATAAATTGCTTCACTCTCTCATCTTTTACCATAATTCCCTTAGATTGATTCATATTCCTTTCAGAAGTACTCCATCCTGGAAGATCATTAAGCTGTTTGGTATTTTGAGTGCTAAATGGCTTTAAATATTTTGCTGTTAGATCATATACTGGAGCCATGGACTACTTTATCTCACCCTGAAGCTTACTCCTTTTACTGAAACTTAAAATAGTCTTTTTTCTTTCTTCCTTCTTTTTTTATTTTTTTTATTTTTTTTGAGTTGGGCATCACTCTGTTGCCTAAGTTGGAGTGCAGTGACATGATTCTGGCTCACCATAGTCTCAACTTCCTGGGTTCAGGTGATCCTTCTGCCTCAGCCTCCAGAGTAATTGAGGTTACAGGTGAGTGGCACTACATCTGGTTAATTTTTTGATTTTTTATAGAGATCACAGTCTGTGACTTGTTTATTCCCTGTGTCTCTCCCATCTTCCCTATCCTTATACTAAGGACCTAGCTCTGGACCTGGTGGGATTTTAACAATCAAGATGCCCCAGAACAAGACATGTGCTTCTTCATAAAGTATCTGGGGCTACTAAGGGACAAGGACATAGCAATAGTGCCAACAATAACAATTGTGCATATGACAGAGAGGCTGAGAGCACTGCTGAGAAACAGCAGCAACTGAGGAGTCCAGGTGTGGGACCATCTGCCTTGAAACTCTAGGGGTCACCCCTCGAAGTTCTGATTCACTAGGGTAGGATATAGATGGGGGCTTACATTTCCACAAAGCTCCCCAAATAATGTTGGAGAACTACTGGTCTAGGAAGTCTTTATATCCTAATAATACATCATACTTAACCTTCTGGGAAGACAGGGTACTGAATAAGGCAGAGACCCAGCCAAGAAGCTGTCAGCTGCTCCTTGGCTGGGATCAATGATTTTTAATTTTTTGAATCTTTTTAGAGATAGGATCTTGCTCTGTCACCCAGGCTGGAGTGCAGTGGTATGATCATAGTTCACTGCAACCTCGAATTCTTAAGATCAGGAGATCCTCCTGCCTCAGCTTCTTGGGTAGCTGGGACCACAGGCATGTACCATTGTCTCCAAATGATTTTTCTTTTTTCTTTTTAGAGATAAGTTCTTGTTATATTGCCCAGACTGGTGTCAAACTCCTGCTCTAAGTGCTCCTTCCACCTCAGACTACCAAAGTGCTGGGCTTACAGCGTGAACCATCGTGCCCACCAGGGTCAATGTTAAGAGTTGCAGCACACTCCTCTATCATCCCTAGAAAGGGTTATGTGGAACCCTACAATCGCCAACAACTGACACATTTGAATTATCCCAGATCCTACACATCATCTCCAAGTCTCAATTGCTAAATGCCAGGTACATTCTACAAATTCCCTTGAGCCACTTTCACATCACTTTTCTTTAGGCTGAGAGGGCAGGGACAGGCTGAGAGGGAAGCAGAGGATGAAGCCAAGTTCCAGGCACTTCCTGAGGACATCTGAAGCCCATGATTCCACGTGTCTGAAACTCAGGGCTTGGTTGCCTGGAAAAGAAACAAGCTAAGACCTTTTAATTCAAGTGTCTGCATTTTAGACTGTATGTCTGACCCAAGCACAAGAAAAAACAAATTTTTTTTAAAAATGAGCTTCATTCATGTATTCAGCACATGTGCCAGGAGGAAATACAAACCTTAATAATATGGAGCTTGGGTAAGAGGTTACAGTCAGCCAGTGTGAGCTCATTCCCATCCAGGAACTTCCTTCCGGAAACAGCGACATCCTCTGTGCTATACGCATCTATTTCATCAGGCAGGGGGCTATTTAAGTAATTATCCAGCTTCTTCAGGGCCCTTAACAAGTTCTTTTCATAAACTAAAACAGAAAGGCAAGAAATGACTAAGAGAGGCCTTGCAGGCTAGTGTCACTGTGCATCAACTATGAAGAAAGGAGTCTGCCTCCCTTCCTTCCTGAGATGTGGCCAGTCAGCAACAGGCATTGGGGAGGTGGATTTAGAATATCTTAATAAAGGGCTCACTTATCCCTGGACAATTATGCTGCTGTCTACACCACATTGGTACTTCTATAACTCATTTATTTATTCAAAAATATTTATGGGCCTGGTGTAGTGGCTCATAACTGTAATTTCAACATTTTGGGAGGTTGAAGGAGAAGACTGCTTGAGCCCAGGAGTTCAAGACCAGCCTGAGCAACATAGCGAGACCTCATCTCTACAACCAAAAAAAATTTTTAGGCAGGTTTGTTGGTACATGCCTGTAATCCCAGCTACTCACAAGGCTGAGGTGGAAGGATCGCCTGAGCCCATGGGTCAAGGCTGTGGTAAGCCATGATTGTACCATTGAACTCCAGCCTAGATGACAGAGTGAGACTTTAAGAAAAATTATGGAAAGTCTATGATGAGATAGGCACTAGCAGAAGCATCATTTAAAGTAACTCCTATGGTACGACTGGGAACACCTGGGTGGTGATTATTTTTTCCTAAAAACGTCGTTTTCTGGGTTCCCAGTTACTAGAAGAAGCACTCAATCTCTTGAAACCCACGTGCAGATTTAAAGTTGGAGGTGGTTTTTCCATATTTCGTGTCTCTACCCTCTGTAAAATGGGTCTGAATTCCCAGGATCTTATAAGCAGTCATCAAGTGAAGGGCTGCATTGAAACAGCAAACAGGAAGATGGGCAGTACTCACTCTCATTTGCATCCTTCTTGGTGTTTTTTATAAATGCTGAGAATTTGGCAAACACATCATTTCCTGCTGAGTTAGATTCGGGGTGCTGGGTTCCCAACTTAGGGTACCTTGGAAAGTTCAAAATTGGAGTGTCACAGATAAGCAATGCTTGAGGTAGGATAATGCCATGGGGGAAAACAGCTTTCTCTGGGCAGATATAAACATGAACACTCATCCTTGTATGCTTTCCTAATTTTTTTTCTCTTGAAGGTTGAGAAGTAACACAATTTGCAAGAACAGCCCTGGACTGAGGGTCTGTTCTAACAGTAACCAGTCCAGGAACACAGGGCCCCCGGCCTTGCTGGTCTCAGTTCCTTCCCTAGTAAAATGAAGGGAGATGAACTAGAAAGAGCCCGCTCAGGTCAACACTCCATGACACTTCATCCTAACAAGCACCCCTCACCTTCCAGCAATGTATCTAAGAAATGGCTAACCCCACAGGAAAATGACCCATCTCCTCCCACTTCCTGTCATCAAACCCTCAGTCCCAGATGCAGGTGCGCAGCAGTGACGTGTTCCAGGCCCCATTCGCTCTAATCTGGCTCTGTGTTTTCTGAGGTATACCAGGAATATGGCCGAGAAAGTGAGCACCATGGGCAGCAGAAAGCCAAACACACACCACTAAGAGCTTCAGAACTGTCTGTTAAGGGGAGAGAAAGTGTGAACACTGGTTTTATGAGGCCTACCTCGGGGGAGCTAATTTCTCCTCTAGGAACTCCTCGATCTTATTCACATCCATCTTGACTTCACCATCAAAAGTCATAAAAGGAGGGTTGGTTCCAGGAGCCAGGTTCTGCAGGTCTGCAGGTTTCCTGGGTGGGAGTAAACAGCAGGGTGTGTAGGCAGCTGTGAGACTTTGGATCCATTTCCAGGGCTTAGTATTGTCCTCCCCACTTTAAGAGAAACAACTCTTGAGAATTTCAAAGTAGATTGTGGGTTTACAAAATGTCTTTGCCAGTGATAAAAGTAAAGGCGTTCATTAACAAATTATGGGTTTGTTGATGTGGTCCTTTGTGGCCTCTTTCCTATATACAAAGGTGAAAAAGTTAACTCTCCACAGTGTTATCAGCCAGGAACGGTGCTCAGACAGGCTCAGGAGAGGTACACAGATGACCAGCAACTGGGAGAGCAGGTTCCTCACGGCGCCCCCGACTCCTACTCCTTCCTGTAATTACTCCGTTTGGCCCACACTCAGGCTTCCATTCAGGCTCCGGATCCAGGATGGACATGCCCACGATATTGCCTGTGGGGCCCAGAGTGTGCATGTGTGTGACCGTGTGTGTGTGTGTGTGTGTGTGTGTATAGGGAATTAGATGCAGTTATTTCAATAAGTCAGAAACTTTGTCTTACCTTTTCAGGTCCACTGTTGTCACATTAAATACAACGCCCTTGAGCCACAGAATCATAAAGAGACGCTGAGAAAATGGACAATTTCCGATACTCTCACCATCATAGCCAGCCTACAAGTGGAAGAAAAGATCTCTATCTGAGTCAATCTCACAATTATAAATGCCAGACACCACAATAGGTGCACAGAACATTGTTACAGGTTGTTATGAGTGGTCATAACACTGTAAATATCCTTCTATGGACATTTTACTCAGCATCTACACCAGGTTGAAGATAGGCATGGGGAAAGGGGGAGGACACACACACACACACACACACACACACACACACACACACACACACACACATACACACACAGACACACACTGCACTGCACATTTTCTTTCTTCCTTCCCCACCACCTCACCACTTCCTGCCAAACTGGGCCTCTTAGTAGCAGCTCACAGAGGGAAAAAGTGGCAAGAGGAAACTCCCTTCATTACCAAAAGCAAAAAAAGAAGAAGAAGACATTCTCTTCCCCTCTAACTCTTGATCCTCACCAAGAGAGACAGTATACCTCTCCTTCTAGGACAATCTTGCTTAAGAACAGACCAGCCAATTCTCCCAATGAGACATCATCTCCACTAGTCTCTACTATGCTCATTTACAGAATAGGAGTGGTGGAGTAGTACATTACATGCATTCTAAGATCCTGATCACTAAAAAACCGTATTTTCTCTCTTCTGAGTCATAGGGGAGGCAGAGAGATGAGATGGAAGCACTTATGCCTAGAATGTAGATTATTACACAATTGGCATTGAGGTAGAAGAATATGAAGTAAGTCCTTCCTAATGCCCCACAGCAGGTCACATCCACACAACCCTCTCCAAAACACAGACATAGAAACCTCCTGAAGATGCATCTTCCTTCTCATGGGCTCTTGACAAAAGAGAAAGGCAGATATTGGAATGAACAAGGAGATACTTTGGGGCTTTGCAATGCCTAGCAAATGGAGAGATGGAACCAGAACTAACAAAGGGAATTCTGAAACTCTTCTTTCTCTTCCCATCTTCCCCAACTCCCAAGTCTCCAGCAAAGTTATAGTGCTAACAAAATACTGCTGAAAAGACAAAGAGGTGGCTTGGACTTAAGTACTCACAATCCCACACTTCAAGCCCACACTCAGTCAACTTTCAATGACAGAAACACAGGAACATTTAAGACATGAAGTCCATTTCTGCCCCACATGGTTTAACAAAAATAATTTGAGAGGCAAGCACTGTATCTATCACCTGAATAATGGAAAAACACAAGGCAGAAAGTTACCTGTTTGATAATTAAAGAAAAGGAAAAAGATGGCTTGAGACCACTAGAAAACTAAAAGAGTACCCAGAGATGATTCTCTGACTTGAGTGTTCTCAAATCACCAGGAGAAGTTATTAATAACAAATGAATAGATAAAAGACCACTGATGGATGTTCCTACAAACTTAAAGGATATAAGACAGACAACCCAATTTTCAAAATACTTGACCAACCTCTTCACAAAAGAAGAAATCCAAGTGGCAACAAGTACATGAGAAGGTTCAAATATCATCATCAGCCAGCAGGACAATGCAAATTAAAACCACAAGGAGATGCCACTATGCACCTACTAGGATGGCTAAAATTGAAAGGTCTGACAAGACTAAGTTTGCACAAGAATGCAGAGCAAATGCCATTCTTATTCATTGATGGTAAGAGTATAAATTGGTACAACTACTTTGGAAAACCATTTGGCACTTATCCACCAAAGCTAAACATACATTTATCCTATGGCACAACAATTCCACTCTCAACAGAAATGGGTGCTTATGGGCACCAAAAGATGCTGCTACAAATGTTCTTAGCAGCTTTAGTATCATAGCCCAAATCTGGAACAACTCAAATACTATCAGGAGTAGAATCAATATATCAGTTGTAGTATATTCATATCATGGGATACTACACCACAACGGAAAAGAATTAACTATTACTACAAGCAACAGTGTGGATGCATCTCACATACATAACACTGAGAGAAAGAAACCAGACTCAAGAGAGTCTTGTATAATTCAATGCAGGTGAATTTCAAGTACAGGCAAACTTCTCCATAATGATGGAAGTCAGAATAGCAGTTGCCCCTGGAAGATGAGTGTTGTCTAGAAAAGACAGAAGGAAGCCTTCTGGGTGGTGGAGATGTTCTGTATTTTGATCTGCACAGTGGCTACAAGGGCAATATTTGATTGACAGAGTCTTAAGGTTTGAGTACTCTACTGAATATAAGTCAAAAGAAAAGAGTAAAACATTAATTAAAAAATACAGAGAGTGTAGTTCAATGAGTCTTGCATAGGGCCCAGGAATCTGAATTTTTAACACGCTCCCCCAAAGTAATATAATGGTCAGGTACCACACTGTGGGAAGAACCCAAGTTCAATCTTGGGCAAGAGGTCACCTGGTGCACCTGTGTCAATGTGTAAGACACAACTGTGTGAACCCCTAATTTGATGACCCATTGATCAGAAGACCTGCAAGACTTTTCAGTTGATAAATACAGCCCCATAAACATGAAGATAATGGGTGTCCTTGATATATATAAAAGGGCAACAACAGACACAGATCATTGAATTCAGAGTCCCCTAAGCTCTGAGCCTGTGCTTCACACCCCCTCTAAGCCTTCCAACCCTTCATTCCCCCAGCCAGCATGCATGTCTCTTTGCCTATTAGAGGGGAGGACCCGAGAATCCCCCCAGGTGGAGTCCGTGGAGTTGCCGGGAGCCCAAGGGGTGGGGATGGGAATACTTATGACACCTACATCCAAGTCATCTCAACAATCTCCTGCAGATGAGCCCTGAAAACACATCCCCTCCCCTACCTGAGGCCATTTCTCACCTTGGGGTCCTGCAACCCTGTGGCCTTTTGAAGGTCACCACCAGAACTGAGTTATATTACACCCCAAGGACTGACTGCTAGGGAAACCTCTTAAGCCATGGTACTTAACTCCTGCAGGTTTGGGCACAGTCTAGCCAGGCAAAGGGTAAAAGGGGGAGGAAAGTGCAGGGACACATATTTTGGCCAGTCCTGACTTGCTCTGCAGCTTTCAAACTTCTTATTTTTACAGTAGTTACACTAAGCACAGTAAAGTCTAAAATAAGTTCTGCAGAGTGGGGTGATCATTTTCGTTTTCTTTCTCTTCGTCTCTGTAAGCTTTGGAATCTTGTCATAACTCATCATGAATGTGGCAAAACCCGTGCTGAGTTCATGCGCCCTGTTCCAACGTGAGGTGTCTCCATCAAGCCCCCCTTGACAAAGCTCTGTCTGGAATGGGCGTCCCCTCATGGTGGCTGCCTTCCACACAGCATCTGGAGAATAATTATATTGCACAGGACTCTCTCTTGCAGGTCTCTGCCTCTGGTCTCAAACTCGGGTCAGTGATTTCCCTTAAAATTGTTTTTCTTGCCATTTCCTGAACCCTGGCAGCTACCTCTTTAGGAGAAATAAAGCGGGTAAGAACAATAAATGTGTTAAGAGATAAAAACTGTCTTAGTCATCCCACTTGGTAAGAACTTAAACTTCTTTAACAGGCTTTCTCGGATCTGCAACTGGGACAAAACGTCCAGCCAGAGGATGGGACAATGTCTGCAAGGCCACACAATGCCCACAGCTTAAAAGACAAGAAGGAAAGTCACAATTGTACATCCCACCCCTCCACAAGAAGTGGCCTTAAAACGAAATTGTTCCCAGTGAATGTGGGCTGGTAGGCAGTTGAGGAGAATCAGCCAGCTGCCATAACTGCCAATAAAACAAAATTTACATATCCAGTGTTGCCTCATCTTAAATTGCTCTAAAAAATTCTTTTCTGTCTCAGTCTGTTGTAAATGAGGGGGTTACGGGAACATGGTGGGAGTGACGAGGACGCCTTGCTGCCTAATTTTATTACTTTAATGTGCTTCAGTGCTAGGAGGTGCCAGCAAAAATAAAGACACAGATCCGCCATCTCCACAGACCATTATTGAGCAATCATGGAGAGTATCATCCTGGTCATATTCATTAAGCAGACAAGATGATGGGATAAATACATATATATTAGAAGTGAATAACTGACACTGTCACCATAATTGGGATGTTTTATCGTGTAAAGCCCCTCCTCTCCCCCCAACGCTGATAATTCTCTCAGGCTAAGTGCACTCTGGGCTAAAATTTCTCAGCAGGGTTTTCAGCCTATGGGGGAGGTTTTGGTTTGTACACACTTCTGATCAAATCAAACTAAGCAGTTTGAGAGATCAGTGTCTTTCATTTCCAGGGAAGACCTATATGCTTGGATAATCCAGAATTGTACATTTGCCTCTGAACTTTTTTGAGAGCCCCGAAGATCATTCTCAAAAGAAAGACATTATGTCTTCAATGTGTTTCAAATAACTCCGTTTGGCACAGATAACAGCCACGGCACGTGAGAATGCTGGTGACAGCTGGGTCCTGGCCTCACCTGCCTCCCCATTCAGGGCCCCCCAAGTCTGAGTTGTGAGGCTCCAAACGGCAATACAAGGTCAGCAGTTTCTCTTCACCACAAGCCCTCTTTAAATTGAGCCTCTCCTACCTACTCCTTCCATACTTACTCTATTCCAAATTTGTGGAAAATAGTTGTATTTCAAATTTTCTGTAAGCATTTTTTGTTCAGGCAAATGACTTCTCCACTGGTCTGGAGTTATACATAAGGAGTGCCACCCTTACCACCAAATTCTACTAGAATAACTCCTTGCCCAGCTACTGTCTTCAAAGAACCAAATGGACTCCAGGCATCTCTATAAAGCCTGATGGGGTGAGGACACTCAAAGATATTCTTGGATTCCCCAGCACCCATTCTCTCCTTCTCACCAGAGCAGGCCACACCCCTACCACCTTCTTTCTAGAAAATTCTGTGTGGACCTAAATGGTAAGCACTTTTCTGTCAAGTAAGCACTTTTGCAATAAATGGGTAATATTTGAATTGTTCCTTTTCTGATGACTGGCTTTCAACTAAGGAGGTAGAATATGCATCCTGTGTGCAGGGAAGGATTCCAGTCCCTGAAGAAAACCAGGAAAAAGACTTGGAGTCTGGTAGAGGGATCTGGGAG